TTTTTCATAGTAAAATATATAATTGAACACAGTTACGTATAGCAAAATGTAGTTTTACGTGTTCGCTGACCATTTAAACTTATAATTAATGCCACATTAAATAAACGAGTCTGCAGACCATTTAGGAAATAAAAATGAAAACGAAATGAATTTGCCATGGACGCAATGCCTTAAATGATCTTTTTAAAAAAAATGAAAGTATATCAGTTAAAATGCAACATCCTTTTTAAAATCCAGTTAAATTTTATCAAACTGAAAAGTGTTCTTTTGGGTTACTTTGGGAAATGGACAATGCCATTGGCTTAAAAACATTTTGTTCTAGCTAAAATAAATCAATAATAATAGATAGATTGACTTTAATAGGTTCATTCTAAGATATGTTAGAATAGCAATTTGATAAAAGATAGCTTACATTTATGATATCCTGATAATTTTACTTTTGTTCTTTTTGATAATTCGTTTGTGTGTTTTCCTTAGCATGATAGGCGTACAAAACACATAAACTTTCTTATACCTGAAGTACAAGACTGAACCAGCCTAGAGCTTTGTATTTATGGAAGGACCGACAAGTGAAAATTATGAGAACAATAGTCAAATAGAGTCACGTTATTACTTAAACAATATACATTAAATGTTCATAACTTATGTAAGTCTGCAATAAGCCTCTGCAAACCAAGATCACGGATCATAATTTCAGTACACATACCACATACATGTATACTCAATTAAATGAGAGCTTCATCTTTTTTATTTGAATTTCAAAAAGCTTATCTAATAAAGTTTAATTACGTATTTTATTTTTAATCTTACTACCGGTACGAGACATATCTTAACATATTTGATTTTTTTGTTACTAATTTCATTCCCTTTACACTTTAATTATATCAACATAATAAGATTTTATGATTATAGCCCTTTCACTCACTTCAAAATGTTTACCCCACACGTTTTATGAAAATTTAAAAAGTTTAAACGTTATCAGATAAAAGGTTGCTAAACTGGTACGTACCAAGTAGACATGTCTGTTTTTAAACTCTAAAAGATTTATGATCGAATATAATAGTTTCATATTGATAATGACAATAAGATGATTCATGTGTTAGAAATTAACACTATTGAACTCGTTCAATAAATTCAGTATTGAACTTGCACTCATTCAATATCCTGTATTTATAAAATGATATATAAAATATATTTCATTGATGAAATAAATCATATTGCTACATTCTCAAGTTGTAATGACGTCTGAACATTAAATGCTACATGTAAAATGTTCTAAAATAGTGCAATAATTCGAATGACTGTTTCGCAAAAAAAAAGAGAAAGACATCAGACAGATACCATGGAGTACCAAAGTAACGCGTATATATGTTTTGATATTGTTTTCCATGTTTTTCATAACTATCGAACATACGTGGCATAGTTTTTGCGTTGAAAAATATGTTCCTATTATGTATTTTTTGCCATAGCAGCTTCCGAAAGAATCTTCCAAAGCACAACAATGCATAGCTACAGCAGGGAAATGAATTCTTACTTTATTCGCGTGTCGTCATGTTTACATATGTGATGATATAAAGTAAATAATTATTATAGATAATTTGACGTTTTACTCATATGAAATCTTTTGTAATAAAGTGCCATGTCTTGTTCCAAGTGAGATGAGAAGTAAAATATTTATTGATGCAGGTGACTCGGACTTAAATTTGCGAAATGGATTTCCTTGCTTCGGATGTTGAAACAGTCAAATCAATGGGTTTCAATATCAAAATTCAAATTGACCTGTAGTAAAGTACCAGACCAAATTTAAACTGCACGGACGTGCAGGCTCACTTGGCTCTATACCGGTGGCAAATACCAATAACTTTCGGTGCTGGGTTAATGATGCAAAAAAAACTTGCAATGAATTACGGTCAAATTTATTTACATCCTTTATATTAATGTGTAAAATGTTTTGAAATTAAGTTTAAGGAAAATATGCTTCACTAAATTATGATAATTGTATTTAGTTTTTATATGAAAAGTCTGGAAAAAGGAATATCCTTCGGAAGGACTGAACACAACAAAATTACATGAAAATCGCACCCTCGGTTTGATTGAGCCTTTACATGAGATTTACAATTTATCATGTGTAAGGAGATAGAACAAGTATCAGAGTAGTCTTTCTACAGTTAATACTGAATTTCTTAAAGCAAGAGCATTTTTGATGAACAGTGATAATTGTACGAGCTCAGTTTTATCACAAGAATTCAAAAGTTTGATACATTTATAAACAAATGGTCTTTTGATGTAAATGTCCTTTATGTACTTTTTTTCTTTATTCCGAATTTAACCTGCTTATAATATAAAATGATATTCATCTTCTATATCTAAATTAAGGTGAAGTGTAACATCTCTCACGTCCGAACCAGCCTTTTCAATACTTACAGACCCTATATGTTGTACTTAAGGATGTAACAACACTGAAGTGAAATTTTATATATGTATAGAATTATTCTTCTAAAACAATTTTCAAATATCTAAGAATATGTTAAATATATATCCTGCAAATGTTTAATCCCATTATATATGTAATCATTGAAATATATGCATTCATTTTTTATTGAACAATTTGGCTTAGTAGACTTTACAGAAAATAAATTTCGAATTACCTTCCTTTATTAACATGAAATGTAAATTCGGTAATATTTTTACAAATTATGCTTTTTGGAACTTACAATATTGATAAATCTTCATTTGAGCACAAAATGTATGATATAAAACCATAAAAAGTTTGAGGTACAGGATCTGTAATGTGATTAAATGAATACTTGGTCATTTGTGAATGTGTTATCTTTCGTTTCATTACATGTGCTTTTTGTATTCTATTCATTTACACTATAACTTGTTGGTTGCTTTCATTATTCAATGAAAATGTTTGATATTTAAATTGGTTCTTGGCACGTTAATGAGGAAATTTTGTATGGCGGTAGATCTGTCAGGCGATTAGAATCATGAATGCCCAGACTCTCTTTCCATTCGAGTAAAGGATCAAGTCTAGATAATATATAAATTGAGTTTGTTTTTTTTTTGTAAAAGAAAATTGAAAACATGTTAATGTTGACTGCATGTCAAGTCCATTATAAAATAAGTGATTAGGATCATTATGAAATATGTGTAAAATGTTTGACGAGAGAGAAATGTAATTAGTTTGATGTCTTTTCCAGATTGAAATTCGAGTCATTTATTAGAAAAAAAACCTTCTTCTTAATGTAATGTTGTCAAGATTTTTTTGTATAAATTTCATAGAATTTTCCACTGCATGCTCAAAGCGGCCTTCAGTAGTTTTTGTTTATTTGTTTGTTTTGTTAAAAATAATTCGGTGCAATTTCAAACGAAGTATTTCAGTAACATTACCTAGATATAGTGCATCAACACAGCGCCACGTACGAGATCTATTTATAGCGGGCAGTGACGTTCGTTTCTAAGTTTGACTTATTTACATATAAAGAAGAGACAGGTAGATTAGAGGTATCGGGGGTTTCCTTGTTTATGTATTTTACCGACGACAACTTTCACTTTACACCTTTATTCTTATAATTTGACAATCATATAAAAACGATTTTTAAAACAAGTTAACCTTTAGAAAAGCTGAAGGCCGCTTAAAGTGATTTCAATATCAACATACAAAGAGCAGCTACCGAGAGTGATGTGTGCAAACTAGCCTAGCTTTATGCTGGTTTCAAAGGCTACTCAAAATTACTTTTGATTCCAACAGGGTTAGGGTTTTATATCTAGGTATCTATATTGACAGGGCATCAAACACATACATGACATAGTTACAAAGCTATAAATTGTTGTAATGCCATTACATGCATGTATGCAATATATTTGCAAAATATTTGACAATTGAATAACAGAGCAAAAAACATATCCATAATAACAGATGTGTAAAAGTGCAGAAGGGCTGGCTATCTCACATATATGGGTCTACGTAGTTATGATTTAAAACAATGTTGTAACTGTCATTTAAGTGACATTATGCTCATTTGTTTTCGCTGTCATATTGAATTGAATTAGTAATTTATTTCAAAAGACTGAATATTGAAATGGTAAATGAGCAATAATTGATAATGAAAAAGATAAAACAATATAAAAACGACCTATATCATATAAAGGCTGCCCACTCTTTTAAGAATTGACCGTAACAGATACATCTTGAACTATATTAAATTTTTTGTCCGTTGGTCACATGGATAATTGATTTTTTTTCATAGTATAAAGTATATGATTAAACACAGCTATAGCTAAATGTCATTTTACCTGTTCACTGACCATTTAAACTTTGAATGAGCATATTGCCACATTAAAAAGTCTGCACACCATTAAGGAAATAATAAGGAATTTAAATTGAATTTGCCATGGATTCAATACCTTAAATAACCTTTATAAAAATAAAAATCGAAATTATATTTGTTAAAATGAAACATTCTTTATTTAAAACAATTAAAATTTACCAAATCGAGAAGTTTTCTTTTGAGTTGCTTTGGAAAAAGGATAATGCACAATTGCTTAAAAACATTTTGTTCTAGCTAAAATAAATCAATAATAATGGATAGATTGACTTTTATAGGTTCATTCTAAGCTATTTTCGAATGGCAATTTGATAAAAGATAGCTTACATTTATGATATCCTAATCATTTTACTTTTGTTCTTTTTGATAATTCTTTTGTGTGTTTTCCATTAGCATAGTAGGCGTACAAAACACATAAACTTACTTATACCTGAATTACAAGACTGAACCAGCCTAGAGCTTTGTCTTAATGAAAGGACCGACAAGTGAAAATTATGAGAAAAAAAGTCAAATAGAGTCACGTTAATACTTGAACATTATAGAACATAATAAATGTCCATAACTTAAGCAAGTCTGCAATAAGCCTCTGCAAACCAAGAGCATAACAAATAACAATTTAATTTGTTAACAGTAAACGAATTTTCTCACTTGTTTCACTATGTGTTCCAGGTGTCGAAATATGCGGACCATTTGCAACATTTGGACTCCCTCGGTTCCAGTAATTTTTACCGTCTGCTTCGGTCTAATTTCGTTTCCGGTATTACATTCGTCTGACGAATGCCAGGAGTTAATAACGAGAGCAAATGATCAGTTTTATAAAGGTAATTGTAGTTATCAATATCAAAGTGTTTTATGTCGCTTACTGTTTCATCTATTATGGCAAAGTCTTCCTTCACCAGTACAGCTGGAAAATATGACCATATCACCGACATAGTGTCCGTGCAACTTAAAATCCAACAAACGAATTATAAATTTAATTTGTTTATCACATTCTATATCATTAGCTTATTTTATCTAAATGGTAGAAACTTACCCATGTTTAACTGAATAACAGAAGAACTTTATGAGAAATACTTTCTAGTTTTTTTTCTGGAACATTTGACTAAAATCGCTAACATATAAGGAAAATTAATTTCCTTACTGTTGTTTATTAATCAGCATATATGTCCTCAAACAATTATCAAGTTCTTGAAACTTATGTCATACCGTTGTTACGACTTTCTCTTGAAATAATCATGCCCTGGTTTCGTGTGAGGAAATACATGTATGGTTGTGTCCCGAGTAGGGCTTGAACCCATGGTCCTTGTGATTAGTAAAAGGTCAAAAGCTTAACTAAAAGGCCAGTGCTCCATTTTGTAGACGTCGAGTATTGATATGAATGCATCGATATCATTGTTTGCGAACGTTGATATTAAGCAAAGCAATTTTGTTTATGTTTTCAATGAGTCGAAATATAATGTTTAAATTTGTTTGCGAATTATTGTAAAATTAGAATGTGTTTTTCTCTCTTCTGAAAGCTTAACTTAAAAATCAACACATTATTTTCAAATGACTATTTCAGAAGAAGCTGTGTTAAAATTTAGCCAAAAGACCAAAGTTTCGGATGAAGGAATGGCTTCGAGAAGATGCAATTTTATTGCTGGATTTATCAAGTAATTAATTTCGAAACTGACATGAATAAATAAATAAATAAATAAATAAATACTTTTCAGAGGTCTGTAAGATATGATAGCAAGAAAAATACTTTCTTTTGTTTTGGTATTCTGTGTTTGCGATGTATGAAACTTGCTTGCATAAACCATGAGATCAGTTTATTACATATATTCATATGTACAAGCTTTTGAATACGATATATCAATATATCGTCGATATTCATCGATTCAAATTTTCCACTAATGATGTTGACCGTCCAGTCCTTTCAATAAAACAAATTTTGACATTAATTATCTCAGAGTGCGTACTAAGAATATAATATACAAAGGAACCAATATTTTTGTTTGTTTTCCAATTATTGTTGATGCATTTTGTATATCAAACATTTTAACACAAAATATTTTACCAGTGCAAGTGAAGAGTGCCTTGGAAAGGTCAAAGGCTGTCTTTATTTGTCAGTAAAACAAAACCGGTCAAAACGGTTTGAAACGGTTCCGGATTGCACCGAGGATAAACTCGAATGCTCCGAGGAAGCTATATATAGAACAATGGACGGCTCGTGCAACAATGTGGAACATCCATCTTGGGGGATGTCTAACAGAGTTCAGAGCAGATTGTTAAACAGTCAATACAACGACGGTATCAATTTATAGCATTATTATTTTCATTTATTTAAATGTAAATAAAGGCAATAGAATAACTATTTCATCTAAAATAGTTTAGAAGATTCTAGAAATACAGACAATGTCAAAGCTTGCGTATTTTTTTATTTATGAACAAAAACTCATGGCCCTTAAGGGCATATGAGTGAATAAACAAACAATTCAACAAATACTAGTAATAATACAAACATGGCATAGAAGTAAATAAGTAAACAAGGAAGATGACTTAGTGAAATTGCAGCATAATTACTTTAGCAAACACTGCTAGACTAAATAAAGTATTTCTGTACTCACATTAAAGCCTGAAAATTTAAAATACTAGTAAACCTTGAATAATAATTACTGATATACTTGTGTCTTTAATGAGTAAAATAGCTACGAAATACATCGCCTGTTGTTTGCTGGTTACAGAGTGAGCATGTTCTATTTATTTCAAATACCTGAAATAATATGAATGTTTTCACTTGAAGATTCCTTTATATTACTGACCTCGTATACAACGTTTCCCCATTTATCTTTTTGCAAGGCTTTTACATTCTTTTACTTAAAAGATCTCTGCGATAAAAAAATGACATCTGAAAATAGGGAGTACATCAACTGGGGCAAATAAAAAATACATGCGAACGAAAATCAAAAAATATACCCTGAATTAAATTGAAAGTAGATTTTTTTTCGGCGATATTCTTAGCCTGATTTGATTTAAAAGCGTTTAAAATATATGCATTTTTGAGAATTTTGTTTGCAATTAGAATAATCATTCTGGAAAAATGAGATAAAGTATGCCCTGAAAATTTGTACAACAAGTTATTGGTCTAGATCTTCATCAAATTGTACACACATCTAAAAAAATCATGTCATGTCACTAAACCTCAGTGGAGTTCCTTAAAGATCCTGTATGTTGTAATTAATTAACGGTGTTACAACACTTAGGTGGAATTTTATATCTGTATAAAATTCTTCTTCTAAAACAATTTCCAAACATCCAAAAATATGTTAAATATGTACTGCAAATGCTTATACGCATAATAATTAATCCTTTAGATATATACATTCATTTGTTATTGAACAATTTGGCTTAGATTTTATCGAAATTTATTTTCTAATTACCTCCTTTTATTTACATGAAATGTAAATTTTAGAAATATCTTTACAAATAATGCTTTATGGAACTTACAGTATTGATAAATCTTCAAGTGAGTATCATATTTATGATATAAAACCATAAAACCATAAAAAAATTGAGTTACAGGATCTGTTAACTGCCTGTATATATTAACTCCAGGAAAGGACGAGCCGAAAAGCAAAGGGTGCAGTGGAACTTTGCCAAGTGCTCGAGAGATAAGTAACATCGTTCACGCGGCAGGGGAGACAAGCGATATTGACATGAAACGGTCCCAATTTATCATGACATTTGGGCAATTTCTGGCCCACGATATGGATCGCACACCAGTGATAAAAGGCAAGTACATATAATTATATGTATAGATGTCACTTGCAGACAGAATAACATTTTGCGACTATCTTGCAAACATTCAAGCGCCGCATTATTTCCAAACTCCGACACAGTGGTGCCCCTTTGCTTCGCTGAGTACGTGATTGGGTAGGACTTACAACACATGATTTGTCAAACATTTTAATGACTGCACCACAGCGCCCGAGCGCTATGATTAAAGTAATTTAAAGTAATCCTTTATACATTTATGTGAGATACTTATCACCTGAAGAAAATATTGCTGAATATGAAATGATTTGTGATAAAGGTATCAAAATGTAAACAAAGTATTAATATTTTGTCTCCCATTAAAACATCCCAAATCAGTATTACTGTATTGATTCCCCAAAATACACAAGCGTAAAGGATAGTACAGCGATACGGCCAACGATTAACTATATGGAATTTGTTTGTTTATTGGGTTTTACGTCACTCGACACAGTATATGTCATATTGCGACGATCCAGCTTTACTGGTGGAGGAAGACCACAGGTGTCATTCCGTGCATTATTTCAGACACGAACGGACACATGTGTAGAACCACCGACCATGTGTAGCTTCCTCACATGAAAGAATCCAAAGTCCCTGTCGGAATTCGAACCTACTGTGGTGAGGGACAAGTGGTATGAAATTTGTAACAGGGCACCGGTGAACAGGGCATCAAAATAAAAAGCCTTTGATTTAATAAATGGTAGTATTTAAGGCTTAATGGGCCTTTAATCAATGAAGATCAGTTTCTGTCAAGAAAATGCTATGATACAAGACTGTGATATATTTTGATCAAAATAAAGGAAATCGAAATATGCATACGTTTCAGAAAAAAGGGATCACAAATAATTACTAGAGGTGGAGATCAATATTAAAAGGGGTCACTTCATCGGCCAAAGACATTGGCGTGGTTTGAAATATTTGGGGCGGCGTTCTCTGTTCTGTTGACTATATGAAAAATAACTTTATATTCATGAAACACCGTTATACTATTTTTCAACTTTTCTTTTCGTTTTGTTTCAGATGAGACTGGAAAAAATTTGGACTGTTGTGGTGTCAACAAGAACGAGTATGTATACTTCCCTTCTACGGTTTATTGGTGTCAGGCTCTTATTCATAACGAAAACCGAATAACACTTATGGCGGCAAATTTTCGACATTTAACTCTTTATGAAGATGATTCTTATTTCAGGGACAGTTAAGAAATTATGTACAATCACTTACCAAAAGATTGTAAGCTTATTAAATAGCCTCCTCACATTGAAGAATTCAGTGCCTCTAGTTCGCCCACAGCCTACAATCAAATAAAATCTTATCCGAAGATTGACGGAAAGCGCCGAAAAGTTGCGATTGGTCCGCCCACCTTACCCAATGGATACGCTAGTTTATTCCTTGGACGAGATCATTGAGTGTAATGGTTGTTTGTGTCTCACCGCTGATTCATAAATTATGGTCGGATTGGTAGACAGACTATCACTTGCAGAATTGTTAATTACTGGTGAGTTATGCAGGAAAGGCGGTTAGGTAGCTCAAGCACCAATGTGATAAAATCATGCGTAAATTACAGAGATGAAAAAACAAACAAACATCGTGACTCAATGGTCAGTGTGGGCTGCAAGTGATTTACAGCCATCGACATAAACTATCCAGTCGCCAAATTTCTCCATTTTACCGTTTTTACTTTGACCAACAGATGACAGTTCAAGTAATGCTCACCTGCAATCTGACAAAAGTTCAAATCTACTTATTTCTTCTGACGACCGTATATGTTTCGCTTTCTTAATAATTTGTATTTCCCGAGAAAGTTGTTTTAAGCCATGCTATCAAACAAGCATTGGAAGAAGTATCACATACCGTTATCTTTTGGGGTTAAACAAATTGTTGATGTTTGTTAGAAAACAAATTTGAAGTAATTTATAACAAATTAACTTGAAATAATAGTCAAAATTTATGGGCAAGATTGTTTTGCCAGTTTACCTGTCGGCTTTATGTTTATTTAGAGCTGATTTTAATCAGATTGTGCTCACATGATAAATACTAAATTCTAAACACGAAACTGTCCTGTTGTTGTTGTTTTAATATGATACTGTCACTAGGAATATTAATCATAATGAATAATATCTATAATTTTATGTTAAAGTCATTAAAATTTTACAGTAAGGAGTGTCATCCGATTTCTATCCCAGCAGACGATAAGAGATTTAGTCCAAGAACTTGTATGCCGTTTTCAAGATCAGTTGGGCAACACGACTGTAATGGTAAATATTTTTGGCGGCTGGTTTAAGCCTAGTTAATTACTGCCATTTTTTTCTATTAAAACATATTTAGCTTCAGTAATATTTGTTAGAATGTGCATTCGTGTGTTTTGAAATGTGTTGATGCTTATCACGTTGCTTATCACATTACAAAATTATAAAATATAAAGAAAGGGGAAATTTCACTTCCATACAAATACTTATGAATTTTGACGAAGCAAAAGTACAAAAAATGCTTCGGCTAAATAGCCAACAAGTTTTTTTTAATTTTGAAACTTTAGTAGGAATCTAAAAATAAAAAGCTTCTAAGAAATGTGCATTTTTGCGGCTTAATGGGCCTTTAATACACAGCTGTATATATAAAGACTGTATATACATGTAGTTGACGGATTATTATAGACACTATAAACTTATTCATAGAATACATGTTTAATGATACGATAATATTATCACAAAATCACCATGCCCTTCGTTAGGAGGAAATGCTATGTTCTGAGTGAATTGCTTAACTAACAAAATTGAAAATGTTTTTTGTACAGGTGTTCGACAACAGCTAAACATGCAGTCGTCCTACCTTGACCTTTCAATGTCGTATGTAGTTCAAGAAATCAGAGTAGCTTGAGAGTTGTAGAAATACAATGGTAAAAGGGTGTATATATTCGATTTTATATTATAGCCGGACCATGAGTGCGGAACATTATTGCCAATATACAGGATATACGGTGAGCCCTCACTAACTATAACAATAGTAGCTATTATGTAATGGAACGAATCTTAAAGATATCTACAACATTAAAAATGGGTTTGAACTGCGGTAACTACTATGATTCGGGTTCCGCGCTATTAGGTATAACATATATTCAACTCACTATCTTTTTTGGACTACCCTGACATTGGGGTAGGTAGCACGACTGCTGTTTAGGTCTTTGATTTCAAGTTGAAACAATATTACAGTATAAAGTTATGATAACGATGATGATGATGATGATAACGACGATGACGACGACGATGATTATATTGATGATGATGATGATAAATTCATCAGAATTAATAACGGTCAGGTATTTTACCATCAACGTTTTATTTAGATACACGTGAAGAAGCTATACCTTTGCTGCTTTAAGCCTTTTAATTTCCCTCGGATTATTTCAGATGGACTTCTCATTATATCGTTGTTTCAGGAATATCAAAATAAGAAGCTAAGAATAGTCAGTCAACTGTATTGAGAGACTTGTTTACACAGCGTGTATGTGCAGAATGACCTACATTATAGGCCATGTCTTTTCAACGTTCGTACGATCGAGGAATTTTTATCATGCGATTTTTTCTAAGTTATTTAGTTTTGGCAAAAGCTTATCACTTTTTGTTCCATCAGAGTAAAGGTTAAGCACATTGAATTGACTTATTACTGTTTTTAACAGGGACATTACACAATTACGGAGACGCCTTGCCAGATGAAACACTAACTGGCATCAATGCCGATAATCTTTGTGAACCAAAAGTCACAGACTTTCCTCCCAAGTTCTATTGTCCAGTATCAGGTAACATGACATATCCATTATTTACTTTATGTAAACCCCTACATGGATAACTATACATAAATGTGTATCTAAAGATTTATTTATAGGATTTACTTATTAGTTGTTTCATGGACTGACATTTACTAAGTTTGTTCCTGTAGATGTTTTTTAATTCGTCATTCAGGTGTATTTTTAGTGCTCCTTAAGCAAAAATGTTATAATTGAAATAAATTAGTCTGTGCCATATCGGAACATATATCACTTCGTGTTTGAAATAACAATTTCGGGCTAGTAAACACCTCTACCCCCGGGCGAATGAAATACCACGACATTTTATTTCTTCAAAAACCTTGGTAAGAACATTATTTATGAAATATAACCATGTACAACAGGTGATCCAAGAACCAACGAAACTCCAGTCCTTGCCTCGCTCCACACCATCATTCACAGAGAGCACAACCGGCTGGCAGACGAACTTGCTCGCCTGAATCCAACTTGGAGCCCGGAAAAGGTGTTCCAGACCGCAAGAAAAATAAACATTGGTCAATGGCAGCATATCGTGTACAATGAATACCTGCCAGCAACTATAGGCCTATCTATTATGAAAGAATACAAAATCGATGTTAAGGTTTGTGTTATCTTAACAACCAGTGCATCTTTAAATAAGCTGTTTTGAGAACTACTTTGTGTTGTTAGGTTTGCCGGGAAGCGCCGTTCCAGATATTGAATGTCAGCATTGTATTTCCTGATCTGCGATCAGAAAATACAAAAACCATTTCCAATGACCATCTGTCCGACCACCTGTATTTAAAATGCCACAATCTTATTTCCGTTTTTCAATATTTATTGTGATTTGAACTGTATTAAATAAAAATATGTCATGAAGAAAGGCCAACAGTCAACATAAACCGGTTCTTAGGATCTTCCTTGTGTGTGAAAGAACTTTATAAGGAAGCTCTATATAGAACAGTTTAGCTTTATAAATGCCCTTGTTTTTTACGTTTCAGTTATTTTAACAAATAGAATTATTTTATTAACATATATATATTGGCGTTAAGGCGATAACGCTTAATTTCCATTTTTTTTAGATCCACTCGATTTTCAAGTTAATGGCCATTTTATCAAATAATTTAAACAAAATCAATGTTTATACTGGCATTGGCATTAACCCTTGCTACATTAATTATCATTAATAGAGTTGCCTATCTTTCATTCTAGGCAAAACCTTTCATTTGTTTTGGAAATTTTCAAAATATTTACTGACTGAATAGCTGACAGTGAAGGCATGGACCCTGCAAATTTACGTATCAAACTTCGGTACATGGCTCGGCTTTCTTTTGTTTAACAATGCATTAATTATTTGTAATTGACTTCAAATTTATACGTTCAGTCCAATGCTAAATGCTTGCATTTTTTTTATATAATCTTCTGATCACTATGCCGAATGAATTCTACCAAAGCGTCTATTTATGTATTGAAAATGGTGAGTGTCAAGATTTGTCAAACCGACAACTTACTTGTTCTTACGGAAAGTTACAAAAACTACCGATTGTTCAAGAATTAATGGCGGACTTTCATATTTGTTTCAGCCACAGGGGTTCCACGATACGTACTTCCCTAACACGGACGCGACAGTCTTCAATGCATTCTCAACGGCCGCATTTCGGTTCGGACATTCCCTGATACCCGATAGCTTTACCCTTGTGGACTTCGATTTCCGTCGTAAGCAGAGAGAAGATTTGAAAAAACACTTTTTTAAGCCACAGTTATACCATGATTATGAAAAGTTAGCGATTGATTATATGCTCATGGGAATGGCAGACGCCTCGTGCCCACGATTTGACAGGTTTGTGCGAATTTCCAAAGTTAAATATAAGTAACTGAATATTATAATTGTCAGAATGTTTTTCCTCTGAGTTTACGAGGTCATATGTCACACGGAAACTGTAGTGGGTCGTATGATGTCTCTATAGCTTGACAGTCGAAGAAAGGATCTTAAAGACATTTTTGAAAATGTTTAACGACATTTATTCTTTATAACATACGGATTTCCGGATAAAAATCATATGTTTTAGGTGCCTTCCTTGTTTTATGTTGTCGTTGGGTTTAACTTACATTTAGAGATACTTAGACTATTCCAGACTGCAGTGTTGACCGGGTTGCAATTGACTTTTGAGAGTAACACCGGCTTGAATAACACCGGCTTTGTTGTAATTGTGTGTGTATTGTTATTTTATTATAGAATTATAAAATTTCAGAAAATTTGAAGACAGTGTACGTAATAACCTCTTCCTAAATGAAAATGACGTCACGGACGCAATAGATCTGCCAGCAATGAATATTCAAAGGTATCTTCATTAAGTTACGTAAACCATGTTCATTCTTGAAGCCGTTTACAAAATAATGGGTATTAGACTTCCTATAAAACAGCCTTAGCAATTTCGAGATTTTTAATGACAATTTCTTTCATTAAAGTGAATTGTAAATTACAATAAATAATTACGTTGAATGCACTTAGTATCAGACATAAATAATTATATATGGAAGTTATTGGAAAGTGCGAGAGATGCGATCCGACGTTACATATATTTCATAGCAGATTAAAAAGATTAAAAAATGTTCTACAAATAATATTATTATTCATCATATAAATGTTCACTTTAATTTCAGTTTGATCGGTCAAACTCTTTTAACTGAATATAGTTCATTAATTATTATGCATTTTTCTTTACACACATAATCACGTGACAGAGGGCGAGATCACGGACTTCCAGGTTACAATGATTACCGTGAATTCTGCGGGTTACCAAAGGCAACCACATTTGACACTAACACTGGTGGACTTGTTGACCATTCGCCGGAAGTCGCAAAACTGCTCAAAGAGGCATATAAAGAGTGAGTGAAAAACTTAAAAAATATATGTACATCGTTTGTCGCAAAATAACAAAACAAAAACTATACACACACATACAAGTAAAACATGGACGACGTTTGAGTCAGATACATGTGCGTCTACATCATGTTTATTTCGGGATCATGTTTTATTTTCCTCGACACCCCCCCCCCCCTCGAAAAAAAAGAAATAAAAAGAAACACAACACAACAAATAACAACCAGCAACTTTAAAAAAAAAACATTTTCAACACAAATGCATAAATTAGTGTATTTTTAACGCAAATGCATTCTTTTATGACATTTTACGCACATATACATTTATGACGCTTGCATTTTGTTTTGCTTTGTTTGTTTGTTTTTTTGCTGGATTTGTTGTTTTAACATGTTATAGCAAAAACATGTATATTTATGTCTAATGACACGTCACATCACGTCTGTTATGCCTTCGGACCCTGTGAATGTAGTTATAAATCAATCTGTCATTTACACATTATTTTGGTGGATATTTTCCACATGGTTCGGCACTCGTCTTTTCCAAGAGCCATTTCTACCGGAAGAACCTTACTACGCTTGGTATGTCTTTTTCAGTTGCATTGATGATATTGACCTTTTCACCGGCTTGGTAAGCGAAAGACCAGCTCCAGGAAGTCAGGTCGGTCCCACAACCCAGTGTCTATTGGCAACACAGTTTCAGAGGCTTAAAAATGGAGATAAGTTCTTTTACGAGAGGAATGACGTTGAAATAAGTTTTAGTGAAGGTTTGTGGTTCTTTAAACTTTAAGAAACACTGTATGTGTTAACCTTTTCAACTGGATAATCTCCAGCGGCGGGAAGGCCTTGTCTTTTCCTACGGTATAAACCCAAGCATGTACGTCCGTCCGTCCGGTTGTTTGTGTTTTCAAGCCCGTTTCTATGCAGGTGACTGCTTATCGTAAGCTGAATGATAGTCAATAATTACATATATTTGAACAAAACTAAATCAGTGAAAAAAACGAGTATACTCTAATGTCGCATTGTTGTGAGCATATGCGAATGAAATCATTGAGTGTAAAGGTCCTGTGTGAAGCAAACCGATAGCTTACATTTGTAACACTGAAGTTCTTTTTACGGGTATCTTTATAGTCCTTTTAATGGACTAACCATTATCCGTGACCGGCAAACAAACAATGTTGTCTTGTCGCTAAGTACAATAGGGAGAGCATCGGGTTAGTAATCCAGGGGTCTCTGGTTCAATCCTCGGATGAGGCGTAACATTGAGTATAATGGTCATTTATTTATCTCTCCCCGCTTATTCAGAAATCATGTGAGATTAGCAATATGTCACTGGCGGGGAAGTTGTTAATTACTAGCTTGTGAACCAGGAAAACCAGTAAGGAGAATCGATCACCGATATATGATCAAAACGTGTTTAAACCTGCATAAAAGTCAGAAAAACGTACAATGTTATTGCTTGAGCAAGGCTTGGATCGATGGAGCCTGGCGGGTTGATACACACACGCATTGACAATATCAAGCACTGCTTAAAGCTAACAATACATAATCCCAAAACATACGCAAAACAACACCAAGAAAAGATTCCATTCTAGTTACGTTCACTTTTAAATAAATAACATAATTTTCATCTATACAATCTTTAAAGATCCTGTATGTTTTGTGATTGATATTGTTACTGTGTGTATACCATACTTGCAAAAAATTATATATGTATATAATTATGCAAAAAAAAAACAATTTTCAAACATCGAAGAATATGTAAAATGTGTACTGCAAATATTTGTACAGTCACATTATTTTTAATCAATAAATTACATGCATTCATTTCTTATTGAAACTTTGGCATAGAATTTATAGAAAATAAATTTCTAATTACCTCCCTTTATTTACATGAAATGTTAAATTGGGTAATATCTTTATAAATAATGCTTATTGGAACTTACAATATTGACAAATCTTAATTTGAGCATCATATTTATGACATAAAACCATGAAAAAATTGTGTTACAGGATCGTTAAGGGTTAATGCGTTATTGCTGTTTTTATTTCAGCTCAGCTAAATGAAATAAAGAAAGTTCGCATGTCGACGTTGTTTTGCTTAAATTCAAAGGCGACAAAAATTCAAGAAAATATGTTCCTTAGGATAGACCGAAATGATGGAAGGCGTGGATCATGTCATAGGTAAAACTCGCATTTTCATTGGATAAGAACAGTTACATGAGGGCTATTTTTTTTCTAAAAATGGCTGCTGAATAATTTGATATCTCTTTTTCTCCATATAATTACAAAATTTTATCAAATTTTCACTTTTATCTAACAAAAAGGATTTCAACATTTTAAACAAACTTTTTGTGACGACAAAAGTTATTGCCCTTGTTGACATTTACAGCCGTCATCTTGAAATGATGTATTTCTCCGTACATTGTAGAGCATCAAGTTTTTGCATAAAAAACGAGATTTATTAAGATGTTTTTCTATATACTTAACATATATAATTTTCAGGCTAGATTTAGGAATCTAGATTTTTATTATCGCACCCATCTTATAAGACAGAGACATATAAATAAATACATATGTATTTTAACGTCTCTGATAAGACCGAGTCTGCAACAATTTCATTAAATGAGCCGCGTCACGACAAAACCAACATATTGGGTTTGCGACCAGCATGGATCCAGACCAGCCTGCGCACCCGCGCAGTCTGATCAGGATCCATGCTGTTTCTACTTGTTATAGAGTTTGTAAGCGAACAGCATGGATCCTGATCAGACTGCGCGGATGCGCAGGCTGGTCTGGATCCATGCTGATCGCAAACCCATTATGTTGCTTTTGTCATGACGCGGCTCAATTGTGTTCTTTAAAATTAAAAAAAATATTACATCTATACTGACAAGTTTTTAAAAACACACTTTTCTAAATATTAATGGTTCAGACCATTTATGTCCATGTAATTGTTTAATTAATCGTAAAAGTTTCTTCTTTAAAGCTCACTGGAGCACTAAGTGCTTAGAAGTGAGCTTTTGTGATGGCAAGTTGCCCGTTGTTATCCACAATTGTTTTAATACAACATCTCCTCCCTAACAACTTAGTTGATTTTTACCAAACTTCACAGGAATGATGTTTAGGTGACCAGCTAAAATTCAACATACGGCCAAAGATTCAACATAAAGCTAGCCTATGACCAGTCATGGCATAGGGGCAAAAAAAAAAAAAACACTTTAAAAACGAAATCTTGAATATCTTCTTCTTAGAAACTAAATCATACCAAGGGCCAAAATATTTGGCAGGTAGCAGCAGCATCTTGTGGTGTTCCAAACTTTATATGAGCCGCGTCATGACAAAACCAACATAACGGGTTTGCGACCAGCATGGATCCAGACCAGCCTGCGCATCCGCGCAGTCTGATCAGGATCCATGCTGTTCGCTATCAATTTCTCTACTTGTAATAGAGTTGGTAAGCAAACAGCATGGATCCTCATCAGAGTGCGCGGATGCGCAGGCTGGTCTGGATCAATGCTGGTCGCAAACCCATTATGTTGGTTTTGTCGTGACGCGGCTCATATATATCATGACAATGGGATCGAAATGTGACACAAAGTTAATACACTTATACCATAAAATTTTTGCTCTATTAAAACCGTAACGCATAGTACTCGTACGATATTCATGACACGATATTCGTCATGTAGGTTCAGCTTGCGATATTACCAACAAAGGTAACTAAATCATAATCAGGGGCTCAAAAATGGTTATAACCTTAGAGTCACTTAGTTTACATAGTCTTGTAGGCGAGTATGTCTCGAAAATCTCCTTTGAATCTTCAATGCCCCAACCATACATACTTGGAGGTTTGCATCTTGTGCAATTTTCTGCCATAGGTATAAATATTTTGCCCGGACCTGGGGTCACTTAGTTGTGTTCAAACAATATTTTATTTATAAACATTTCATTTACATAATTATTGACACGGATTGAGTAGGAAGCTTGAGAAAGTTTATATAGACTTATATAGGAAACTACACTCATGCCCACCTATGTCAAACTATAATGCCAATAGTGTGGATATTCGGCTTGTTACATTGCCTAGTGAGCCTCTACAAGTTTAATATTTGACTCATGTCCCTGTGACCAAAGACGTCCCATATTTAGGTACTTTTATACGTACTTCTTGTATATACGAAAATAACTTTAAAAATCACCTACTTAGAGAATTCATTACATTGAACTGAGTTTCTTCGGCATTTTGCAATTCCCTGTGGATTTCTATACAATTTCTGTAAATCATGTGACTGGGGTAAAAAATGAGCTTAGCCATGTGGCCTTATCAGCTACTGCCCGACAGAATTATGATTTTTTTTTTTTATAAATAATTGGTTTCAGGTGAGCGGTCTAGGGCCAGTGTGACTCTCCTCTTTCTTTTATTTTTACAGGGATCAATTTTCACCTCTTGTATCATGTGAAAATATGGTTGGTGTCGACTTAAATCTATGGAAAGGCGCATAGACAAGTAGATGGACGTCACAAATAAACATTGCAAAACAAAATTGGACACTTCATATACAAATGCGACATTTTCGAGAGGATTTTTAACATTTTAGGCCATGGTCTTGTGTTAAAAGAAATGTGTATTCATCACAGTCAAACAGATAAAATGAATGTTTCATGCACGAGCAGAAGCAAAAGATGGTTTAGATAATTTGCCACAGTAATTTGAGTGGTTTTTCAAAAACTATATCACACCTGGGACATAAGATATCTTATGTCCCAGATCACACTAAAAAAATAAACATTTGAAAAATACATATCAACTCATTTTTGAGGCATAATGGACCAATCTTTATACTGCCAGAATGGCTTGTTTATATTGTTGCTACATGCATATCTAAGTCATTAGCTTTTATTCTAGCAATTTTGTTTGTTTGTTATATATGGGTTATTTTGAAATGCGATTAAAGTTATCAAAAGGTTTGTCTCACTTTCTTCCTTAAAAGCAAATAGGGGAGCGGTGGCTTAGTGGTAAAGGTGTCTGCATGTCAACCCAGAGATCATAGGTTCGAGCCCTACTCGGGTCACGGCCATTTTTCTTCATATGACACCAGTACTGGTTGGTTCCAGAAACGGACTCGAAAGTTATTAATATAAGTTGCAAGAACTTGTCTTGCAATCTCGCTTAAATAAATATGTTTTAACCAAAAGCAAATAATGTCCAGCTGTTATGCACAGTGTGGACAACTCGTCAGACCTACATAGTAAAAAAAAGCCATGCTGGCAGATTTACTTTATGAAAATTCGTTCTAGAGTTTATATAGTCCTTTGTTACAAAGTCAACAACAAACCTTACGATCCTGAAAACGAGTGAAGGTTCATATGACAACCTTTTTATGGCAAAAAGAATCATGCAAATTTTCTAATTTCATAATGTTCTTTAGCTTATACAGAATTTGCTTTTGTGTGATTGTGTACGAAGCTACAAGCTTTTAGACATACTCTTGATTCTGATCCTGGAATTAACAAGTACTGAGCAATGAGTGGAAAATTTCTTCCTCGAGGAAACAACAGCATGTGCCTGTCAAGGGTTTGAATCCAGGTGGCTTGTGATCGTTATATTACGTAGAGATATTAAAGTGACATTATGCTCAATGTTTGCCGTCATTGTGAGTTTAATTAGTAATATATTTCAAAACATTGGATATTTCAATTGTGATTAACAAATAATTGAGAATGAAAAATGTTTAAGATACAATATAAAAGCAACCCATATTATGAAAAGACTGCCCCAAGAAGTGCATATTATCTATACATTCTGAATTATATTAATTTTATAGAAATTTTCGTTGGTCAGGTGGATTATTGATTATATTTTCTATGTAAATTTCAAACTTGAACAGTTATCTCAAATTGCCGAGTTACTTTTATTATTGCCTATCCACTGTTCATTTACACCTAAATGACCATAATGTCACTTTAACAAGTCAAAACCATACTCAGCAGCTAAAAAAATAAATAACACAAGAAAACAGTAACTATATAATCATATACTTATTATTATTTTCTCATGATACCAGGTACATGCTATTCGATAGGTAAAAAAAAAATACAATATAAAAATATATCCAGCTTATTTAATGATCACATATTTTGCGATGCTGGTATGTCATTAAGATTGTACACAGTCTGTATAAATGGTTTATTATGTAAACAGGTGACACAGTCTGCTGGTAGACTGTCCCCAAATTGTTGAAGTAGTTCTAGCATATCTTCCCTGGATCTATGAACAGGTCTCTGTCTTATCATTCTAACTGCTTCTCCCTGAAACACACAAAAAGAAGACATATGAGCCGCTCCATGACAAAACAAACATAATGGGTTTGCGACCAGCATGGATCCAGACATGTGCATCAGCCTGTGCATCCGCGCAGTCTGATCAGGATCCATGCTGTTCGCTTACAAACCCTATAACAAGTAGAGAAACTGATAGCGAACAGCATGGATCCTGATCAGCGCAGGCTGGTCTGAAACAAATTATGTTGGTTTTGTCATGACGCGGCTCATATGTTGATTTTTTCTATTGGTTTTGTTGGACCTCAAGTGACAAATGAACTGTGAAGGTCATATGGCAACTTTTTACTAGTGCAGGATGACTTCAGGTCTCCATTTCTTGCATTATTTCAGGCATGAATGGGCACCTTAGTAGAACCACTGACCATCAATAAGCTAGCTGGTTAGCATCCTAAAATGAAAGAATCCAAAGTCCCTTACAGAATTAGGACCCATAACTGTGAGAGGAAAGGGATTTGAAGCCGCTGATGACCTTAACCACTCGGCAAAACAGAGGCCCCTTGGACCTACATTTTATTAACCATGTCACAATTTTAAAGTAAAACTCCAGAAATATAGAAACCCAATCTCATAATGAAAGTTATTTACTATTAGTGCAGGGGCAATAACTCCTGAAATATATATACTTGTCATATACTTGTGAAACAAATACATTATCCATTATCTCCAAGCTATTGACCCAAACAAACATTCTTCAGTATCTTCAATCTTTTCAGGGGAAATAACTCCTAAAAATCTGAGCAGATTCAAAAATCAATTACACAGGCCACCTGTCCTTAAATATTTAAGAAAAATGTGAATTGGTCTGTAATCCAGGAAGACCGCCACAAGGCAAAGCTTTCCTTCTAATCATTCATTTTTTGCCACTTCACAACTATTAAAGAAATATACAGCACACATCATCATGGTTTTTCAGGACTAGCAATAAGAATGTTTACACAATGTTTTGTTTGTTTGTTTTGGGTTTTACGTCACATCGACACAGTATAGGTCACAAAATGTACAAGGCTTAAATAACTTCATATCTGACACACAAGAACAAGAATCCGTCCATTTAGCTCAATAGGTAGAGTGTTGGACTGTGAATCGGGCAACCCGAGTTTGATTCTCAATTCATTGGTCATTCACACTGTACCTCTGTTCTGGCAGGTACAGAAGTTTCAGTTCCTTGCAAATGTGAAGGCAACTAGTACTGGTTAACTGCTTGACATCTTCCCCAGGAATGGTGCGGTGGCCGACCTGTGTTCTGGTTGATTCAACGTGGCCTACTGCCGTGATCTGGAGTGAAAACTACCAATACCATCACCACCACACAAGAGCAAGTCTAAGAGCACTGAATGTAAACCAAGACCTTACCTGTAAATAGAAAGAGACTTTGAGGGGTCTGACTAGACCAACAGTTGTAGCTTCCGAGTGTGTGATTTGTTCCAGAATTTCTTGTAGATCCTTCACACCATACATGGGCATACACGTGGCTAGACCCACTATCTCTAGTACAGGCTGGCTATCCTGGTCCATGTGACATCGTATCTAGAATATGTTATAAATATTTCACTTAAAATATAAACAACTCAAGAGCTTTTATTAACTACTGGTGCATAAAAGTTAGGTTGTTGTTAAACTTAGATTGCTGCCTAACTTAGGTGGCTGCCTAAAATAAGTTGCTGGTTGCCTAACTTAGGTTGCTGGCTGCCTAACTTAGATTGCTGCCTAACTTTGTCAATACCTTTTCCTGTTCAAGGTATAAAAGATTATGGTCAAAGTTCATATCAATAATTTATCAATTATTTGCTCTAAATGATAAATATTCGTAATTTACAAGTATCTAAAAATACACATGATTGGATTAAGATAATAAAAATTCCTTTTTTTTTTTGAAAATCATCAAAGTAACTTTTTAAGAAATATGCTTGTAAAATTTGATCCAAAACTAAACAGTGATTTAATTGAGTGATAGAATCACTGTTTGGGATATATTGTTTATTGATATTCAATCATAAATCATTTAATATTCAATCATAAATCTCTAAACATTCTATGATAAATCACTTAATATACAATAACAAATGTGTCACTTTTATCTAATTACAGAATAAGGGACTATCCGTGTTTTGGTTTAGAACTGTCCATTGTACATTGTAATTCTTAACCTGACAGAGATGAAAGTGATAAGCTTTTCTCATCAGTATAGAGCAGACTGACCAAGCTCTAAATAATGCACTGTTTGTTTTGAATGTTTGTATTTTGTGATTCAAAATCCCTATGACTGCAAATGGACTGTTCCAATTTCAGAACAGGGCAAAGTCTATAAATGTATTACAAAATCTTAACAGGTTAAACAGGTTTTCAATATCAATGACAAATAAGATGAGGCAAATTCTGATCTAGCTCTACATGCAACTGGTGGTTAAATAGCTTATTACTATCCATATGTTTCAACAATACATACCTCTATTCCATTTGCCTTTAATTGTTTATCTTCAATATAAACATACGTTTGTCCTCTGTTAGATGGGACCATTTCAAGCAATTTCTCAAACAACTCTCTCTTCCCAAAAGACCTGCATCATTGAACATACCAATCAAATTTGAAAACAAGTGACAGGAAATTATGTAAAACCTGGATTTCCAAAAAATATGAATGGCCAGGAGCCCTGTTTTCCTGTATCATTTACATATGAAAAGTCAAGAAAAAGTAGTATTGTAAACTATAAGTGAAATCAGATATAAAATCTAAAACTCAAACTGATATCATACAGTTCATATTTGTATCTGAAACAGTGCATGTGCAAAAACATTCCTTGTTGCATTTGTTAAGGTAGAACAATACAATGCCTGACTCTTAACACAGTTAAATACATGTAATATATATTAAGGAGAATATTTTTATTTACACCATGCAGTATAAAACACAGGTACAAATACCAGTATAAAACACTACATTCAAAACTAGAACTATCACTAAATGTGATTAATACCCCCACAAGACTGCTTCGGAAATGAGGATGTTACTAGTAACAGAACACCTTGTAAAAGAATTGAAATATAGAGTTATGGTTGTGGCAATTAAAGATAGTTGTGGTTCTTGTTTTCAATGTGGTTGGCAATTGATGAAGTTTTATTGAATTATGCTGTAATAAGTCCAGAAAGACAACGAAAAGAGGGCAATAACTCTATAAATACTGTAGATTGAGTTATAGTTCTTGTGCACTGCACTTCCTCTTATTGTGCTTGACCATTGTATGAAGTTGTTTTGAATTCCAACCAGTACGTTTTAAGTTATGCTCCAGACAAGGAAAAGTATCAAAGGGCAGTAACTCTGTATTTTGTCAAAATGGAGTTATGGCTCTTGTGCACTGCACTTCCTTTTAATGTCCTTGACAACTGTATGAAGTTGTACTGAATTCAAAACAGTAGTTTTTAAGTTATTCTCTGGAAAAGGAAAAGTAACAAAGGGCAATAACTCTGTAATTAGTCAAGATGGAGTTATGGTTCATGAACACTGAACTTCCTCTCAATAAGCTTGACCATTGTATGAAGTTATAATGAATTCCAACAATTAGTCTTCAAGTTATGGTCCGGACACAAGAAAGCAATGGAAAAGTAACAAAGGGCAATAATTCTGTAATTACTTTAGATAGAGTTATGGTTCTTGTGCACTGCACTTCCCCTTATTGTGTTTGATAATTGTATGAAGTTGTTTTTAATTCCAACCAGTAGTTTTCAAGTTATGCCCCAGACAAGGAAAAGTAAAAAAGGGCAATAACTCTGAAATTAATCAAGATAGAGTTATGGTTCTTGTGCACTGCACTTCCTCTCAATGTACTTGACCATTGTATGAAGTTATAATGAATTCCAACAATTAGTCTTCAAGTTATGGTGTGGACAAAAGAAAGCAATGGAAAAGTAACAAAGGGCAATAACTCCGTAATTACTTTAGATAGAGTTATGGTTCTTGTGCACTGCACTTTTCCTTATTGTGTTTGATAATTGTATGAAGTTGTTTTTAATTTCAACCAGTAGTTTTCAAGTTATGCCCCGGACAAGGAAAAGTAACAAAGGGCAATAACTCTGTAATTAATCAAGATAGAGTTATGGTTCTTGTGCATTGCACTTCCTCTCAATAAGCTTGACCATTGTATGAAGTTATAATGAATTCCAACAATTAGTCTTCAAGTTATGGTTCGGACAAAAGAAAGCAATGGAAAAGTAACAAAGGGCAATAACTCTTAAATTACATTAGATAGAGTTATGGTTCTTGTGCACTGCACTTCCCCTTATTGTGTTTGACAATTGTATGAAGTTGTTTTTAATTCCAACCAGTAGTTTTCAAGTTATGCCCCGGACAAGGAAAAGTAACAAAGGGCAATAACTCTGTAATTAGTCAAGATAGAGTTATGGTTCTTATGCACTGCACTTCCTCTCAATGTGCTTGACCATTGTATGTAGTTATATTGAATTCCAACCATTAGTTTTCAAGTTATGCTCCGGACAAGGAAAATGCAACGGACGTCTGGACCGACCGACCGACCGACCAACCAACCGACCAACCGACCACCGGGTGACTCCTATATACCCCCCCAAACTTCGTTTTTGGGGGTATAACAAGTATTGACTAACTTCTCATTCAGCCCAATGGTGTTTTCAAGCTTTGTAGCTGGAATTATATGATTCTCCATCAACTCCTGGTGCAGTAGCGTCTCCTCAATCCGATGTGGATTTACAACCTTGATCTCGTTACCATGGCAACAGACCCAGCTATTATAATACTTTAATGCACCAACAAGCCTCATTTTACTGTCTTGTTGAGTTTGTCTGAAAATTATTCAAATATCAAAGCTTGTGTCAGTCTTTTTTTCTGCCATTTAAATCATATGTGATCTTTTCAACATTACAGTTTAAGTTAATAGAGGGTGGTAAGGATTTTCATTAAACCTCCCAACTAAAGCCAAAGGAATCTCTACTTATAGATACAACACACTGTTTGGGTCAAGATCAATGAGACCTTTGACCTTCTGACCTAAAAAAAATATGGGTCATCTGTAGGTCAATAAATCTTAGTACTGTAATGATGTTTAGTCAAAAATAATAATATAGTATCATGCTCTTCGTGAATATTTCAATAATATATTACATGTATTTCTTAACATCTATATATTATTTTCCTTCAAAGTTTGATTAAAAAAAAAATATTTACCATTCTGAAGACATACAGCTACCAATTTTTGGTGAACCACCACCACCCCCCTCTACACCCCCCATCCAATAATCCATATCTAACATTTCTTTATCAAGAAGAGTACTCAATATCATATGAAATGTCTACTTACGTTTGTCTAAGACCTGCCATATACAGCTGTTTCATGTTTTGAAGACAGAATGATAGCTTCATTGACTTTACTGGTACAGACTGGACAGCTGATATTTTACTTGAAGCAAGGAGTTGATCTTTGATACTAGGTGTACCAGTCACCTAGAATATTGATGAGTCATTATATTTTTTTTCATCAGATTCCCCCTACTCTGTTTCTTGCTTATGTTTTGCTTACAGCTTATTTAAAGGGTATAAGTCTATATAGAATGAAATATTTTTATAAAATTTATAAACAGTAAATTTATGTTGGTTCCATTATTATATGGTTGATTCATAGAATGTCTCTGTTATTTATTGTACGTTAACAGAATAAAATGTTCCGGAGCAAAATATTATTTTGCTATTTTAATTAGGTTTTATTCCGTTTAGCATTGATTTGTGCATGTGCCACACCATTTTTAAGGCAATTAAGAGTACCATATTTATTTCATACAAGCATTTTGGAAGAATTCTTTTTCAAATTTCAAACAATGATTTTTGCAGCAGATATATAGCTTTATACACTTTAAAATATAAGTGATTTGGATGCATGATCACTATTGATGTGTGTTTAACCTTTTAAGCTTTTGTTTGCTTGAACAAGGAACTTAACACTCATTGCTCAGATTGTGTCTATAAGCTTATAGCTTCCTATACAATGGAACTAAAAACGATTCTGAATTAACTAATATAACTGATTTATTTAATGATATATTAGGAACTATGTTGATACTTCGATTATGTGCGTACTTGTGTTATTTCTCAAAAATTTAACAATTCACTTTAAAAAGTTATATGGAACTTTTTGAACTTAAAGGGTATAAATCTATCTCTGATGAATTTTTTTTTTATTTTCATAAAGAGAAAGACAATGTTGTTCTCATGACATTTTGGTAGATTCTTGAAAGAATTGTAACATTAAATGTCTCTGATTTTTAACACGCATGAATATTGTACGTAAACAGAATTAAATGTTCTGGAACAAAATATTATGCTGCTATTTTAAGTAAGGTTTTAACAGCTTAGCAATATCTTCATGCATGTGCCATTAGCTTCAAAGGAATATAAAAGCATATTTCTTTCACACAGGTATTCTACATTATTTTTTCTCATAATTCAAAATTTAAAAAAAAAAAATTGCAGCAGTCATATAGTTTTAGACACATTAAGTAGTGGCCAAGAGAGCTGATTTTCTTTAAGCTAACTGGATAGCTAACTTTCTTTTTTGTTTTGGTTGGGTTTTATGTCATGTATGTCACACCAATACAGTATAGGTCATTTGGCAACTTTTCAGGTTTACTGGTGGACCTTATTTTTTCAGGTACAAACAGGCACCTGAGTAAAACCACCAATGTTCCGTAAGCTAGCTGGATAGGGATAGCTTCTTAACTAGTTATCATTGTCTGGTGGGATTCTATCTCACAGTTGTGAGGGACAAATCAGATCATAATTATAAAAGTATTATTCCAAAGATAACTTCATTTTCAAGAAAAACAAGAAATTAGTTGATTTTATATCCGTCATAAAGCAAGAGGGTTTTGTGTTGTTTTTCAAATTGATTTGTAAATCAAATTAGAATCCTTATTATTTTAAATTTCAAAACAAACACTATTTTATTGAAAGATACCCAATTTACCTGAAATGGCCGCATAACTTTTTTGCAAATAGGTGAATATTAACATATGAATTTGTGTTTTAATGGTAAACATTTAAATAATCATAAAAAAAGGTTGAATAACTCTATTTCAAATTAATGGATCAAACATTTATTTGAAATATACACTTTCATACCCAATCTGAATCAAATCCCTGAGACCCTCAAAGTCTTTCCATGCAACTTTTCACGTTGACCACAGACACATGGACAATTAGATACCATAAAATCATAATATATTCAGATATATTGTTCTTCAGAAAAATTGTTCGTTCAAATACTTACTGGCTGTAGCCTTCTATCTAATTTCTGTGCAAGCTTCTTCTTTTCGGAGACTTTCTTCTTGAGGTCTTGAACCTGTACTTTACCAACATCCACATAACGTTTCTTATCTACATCAGGTAACTGTTGCCATAGTTGTCTAACTTTGCTGGTAATTTCATCATAATTCAAATCTGGGTTATCCTCCAGAACTGCAAAATTATAAAATAAGTTGTATGTTTACCTTTATTAACTTTTATGTTTACACCTTATTAAATGGGGTTTTAATTTTAATTGTATGTATTAATATTTTAAACTGTGAATTTACATTTTATGTTGAATATCAATGTTATATTGATGTTGCGATATTCAGGTCATTTTTAGGACAGCCCTTCATTAAAACAATAATTATATCACAGTTTGGGGATCTTTCTGTTGAAAATGTGTCAGAGTTAAAATGATATACATATGCATGCACAGTGTGTCAACTAGAGTGCAGGTATTACTTACTCGCCCTCCAGAGCATTTAGCCATTGATTGGCTCATTTTTTCTGGGGTTTACTTTTTGTGACTGCAGAGAAAGGAATAGCGATAGAAATATCATATTTAGATGCTTGTTCATTGGTTACTTTTTTCTTGTATATCTTTTTTTTGTCTATGATAAAAAAGAGAAAGAACATCAAAACACTCCGCTATCTGATATATACTCCCGCTAGTACAAATCAGATAGTCTCATGTTTTGATGCTCTTTCTATTACTAATACTGTTAATTGCTAGATAGTTAGACTTTCTAACAAAATAAACCCCTTAGAACAACAGTAGACTCTTCCAAATACAAAGTAAGGTGAGTCCAATATACAAATATGAGGGTGAAACTGAGTAAATAGCTAATGGATGAACATTATCATAGTCTATTGGCTTAATTGTTAATGTTGTTCAGAAAGCATAATTGTTTACTGTATTATATGGAAGTGACCATGGAATAAATACAATAGGTAAGTGCAGCTTTATCATATCATCATACCAAATTTACCTATTGGTCTCATTTCTTTAGCATAGTTACCTATTGGTCTCATTTCTTAAGCACATTTACCTGTGGGTCTCAATTCTTTAGCATAGTTACCTATTGGTCTCATTTCTTTAGCACATTTACCTGTTGGTCACATTTCTTTAGCACATTTACCTGTGGGTCTCATTTCTTTAGCACATTTACCTGTTGGTCTCATTTCTTTAGCACATTTACCTGTTGGTCTCATTTCTTTAGCACATTTACCTGTTGGTCACATTTCTTTAGCAAATTAACCTGTTGGTCACATTTCTATAGCACATTTACCTGTGGGTCTCTTTTCTATAGCACATTTACCTGTGGGTCTCTTTTCTTTAGCACAATTACCTGTGGGTCTAATTTCTTTAGTATTTACCTGTTGGTCTCATTTCTTTAGAAAAGGCCAGGAATCCAAGAGAGAATTTTTCAGCCGGACTCTTCCCAACAATATCATATAATTTAGGCTGGTCAAACTGAAAATATAGAAAAAAAATTTTATTTATTACATTTTGTTTAACACTTAAAGGAGAATTTAACCAGACATAAAAGCAAGATAAAAAAATAATTACACATACATTATAATGAAGTACTCTTCAAAGTGGTTTAATACAGCATCAAAATTTTGGGGAACAAACAACATATTAATATTATTCTGATATCAAATTCATACATGCATGTGGCATGTCAATATTTCATCAGTTGACAATCATTATATACATGAATCTTTAGAAAATATGTTTTCTTGGAAGCAAACGATCTGACAATAACTATATGGTTGTATGACTAATTTTGTTTCTATAGCAATACTTATATGGTTCAATTTGCAACAATCTTTTCCCTTTACTTATAAGCCAATGCAATTATCAAGATTTCTGAGCATAAATGCACTTTAATCAAATTAATCATTGCTTTATTGGCCTTCTCGATCAATATAATAATTCTTATTACATTATTCAAAGGATTATTAGATATACATACTGATGAGTTAAAGTCTGAAGATTTTCTCTTAACAGGAGGTGTTACAGCAGCCAGCTCTCGATCCTGATTGGGTGAGGGTGGTCTCTTTCTTGTCACATGACTTCCACCAGCCAATAGCTGCACTGGTTGCAAAACTGTGCCATCCTTATCACTTTTTTCTGCAGTTCCTTTACTCCAATCAAGAACATTGTCAGACTGGTTTCTTTCTACGTTTTCCATATCGCCACCATTTTTATTACAAATATTATCAACCTTTTTACCTAGTTCACCAATATCACCAATCATTGTAATATCAATATCTGCTAACAAACCATCTGTATCGTTTAATGATTTACCTATATCACCAGTCTTACTAAAATTACTCTGAGTTCTTAACAATATTTCCAGATCATCATCTAAAATAGCAAAACTTCCATTGTCAACCTGAGTATGTGTAACTGCAACATGATCTGTATCACTAGATATGTTTACTGAATTTGAGCAAGAATCCAACTTTTCAGAATTTGAGTTCAAATCCTTGGATGTATGAGCGATATTTTCAGCATCTGCCTCGTTAGGACCATCTACTCCATCTCTTACCCCATTTTCAGTATGATGAACTACAACTCTATTACCAAGAAGAATTTCTGGTTCATTACCTGAATCTTCTTTCAATTCTTCCACATCTTGAACTACATTATCGGCATCTTTCTTCACCAAAGAACTACCATCATGTGCTTGGCCAGTATCTTTATTCTGTACATGTTCAACTATATTGAATTTATTTCTAGCACATGCTCTGTTTTCATCAACATTGTTTGTCCTCTCTTTAAGGCATGGTCTCCCTCTAAAGTCTACTTTATCAGACACAGATGTATCTAAACTTGAATCTAGAGAGCTATCTGATAAACTAGAGTCATTAAACTTATCTGCTGTACCTCTTTTCTCTGTCTCCTGTGGTTTTATAATGGGACCATAAAGTTCCTCTAACACTGATGTCATCAGTTTCAAAGCCGAGGCCTAAATAAAATTCAAGGAAAAAAAATCTCAAATGTAAGGGTACTTCCAGCAACAACAAGACTTATAATGTTCAGATCTTCTTATGTTGAAATGGAGTTATCAAGAAGTTAATTTGAATCTGATTACAAAATGTTTAAAGTTTCTTTTTGTTTCTGTACTATATAACTTAAATCATCCTGTGTATTACAGACATCTGACTAAGCAAATGAAAACTAATGTCTGAAAATGTATGTAGTAAGATATATTTGAATGCATTAAATTTGTGTTGTCATAATTTTGCCATTGTCAAAAAAGAGTATTTTTCTTCATAAGTGTTTTAATGAAATTGAGGTATTATCAAATCTAAAAGATAAAGTCTTGCTGATTAAATATGATATTCAAAGACTAGTTCAGGCTAACATACTTATTCATTATTACTATAAATCCACTACAAAATCAATTCCCTTAAATAATCTAAAGCAAATAAAACCAATTCTACAGTTCCGCATTTATCCAATTTGGAAAAGTGGCATATTTATGCAGAACTTAACAACAAAGACACAAATAAATTCTGTCACTCTTTATCTAAATTTTATCTAAATGTCTATCTGAAAAAGATCTTTCCCATTCCTGGCTCCATTTATCACTTGTTTCTGCTCATACTGTAAGGTTTTCAGATACAGAAACACTAAATGAGCCGCGCCATGACAAAACAAACATTAAGTGAGTTTGCTACCAGCATGAATCCAGACCATCTACGCAGTCTGATCAGGATCCATGCTGTTAGCTTACAAACTCTATAACAAGTAGAGAAACTGATAACTAACAGCATGGATCCTGATCAGACTGTGTAGATGGTCGCAATTGCACTATGTTGGTTTTGTCATGGCACGGCTCAAATGGCCTTCAGCAAATTTATTTTATTTAAATAACAGACAAAAACTCGCTGCATTCTAAAAGCATCTTAACTGTTACAGTTAAGATAACACTTACTTGTTCATGTAACATGACCTTTGTCTTGTTGGGGTCAACATTTACATCTAAATCTCGGGATGGTACAGTAATACTTATGTAGAACATTGGATGTCTACCGTCACACTTCATGTGGTGACAATAATGTTGTTTTACAACCTAAAACAAACAAAATGATAATACTAATCTTTATTATATATCTATACATGAAATATTGATGAAATAAAATGTGTATTTTCATTTTACGTATTTTCAGTTTAAGTTTATTTTTCACTGCAGTGAAACATATTTTCAGTATTTGCACTGTTGTCTTGCCAGACTACTCTCTTCTAAATTCAGTCAATACACAAAGTTTAAGTGGAAGTGTTTCAATTGTAATGTCAAAAAATAGAAAAATGTATATAATAAACAGAAAGTTCAAGTTCTTTCTAAAAATACAGAATCTGGTGGTATGAAAATTATCATATTTCATTCTTGGCTAGACATTCATGAAATGTTTATTTTCATACCACTTGATCAAAATAAATCCTGTATTTATTGAAAAAATTTATTTATCTCCTGTATGTATAGGTTAAGACCCTTGCACTCAAATCATATTAAAGAAGAGGGTTCCTATAGCATACCTTTTCAAAGTCTTTCAACTGAACTGGACGTTTATTGACAGCAAGAAAACACCTGTCATTGGTTGATCTACTTGTTACATTGACTTCACAGTTTGTCTTGGGCAGAAATGCATCTAACTGCACCTGTGTGATATTATAAATGATCTATTTGTTAAAGTACATGATTATTTTGTTTGTTTTATTGGGTTTTACGTCACACCGACACAGTATAGGTCATATGGCGACGTTCTAGCTTTACTGGTGGAGGAAGACCTCAGGTGCCCTTCCGTGCATTATTTCAGGCACAAACGGGTACCTGAGTAGAACCACCGACGTTCCGTGAGCTAGCAGGATAGCTTCCTCACATAAAAGAATTCAAAGTCCCTGCCGGGATTCGAACCCACAGTGGTGAGTACATGATTATAAATGATCTAATTGTTAAATATTTATGTTATAAGTACATGTAGAATACTTTACCATCTAACTTGTATGATTATTTATGAAATAAACTAAAACTGACATACCACATAAACTGACTGTACAAAAATAACTGCAATTACATTTAGATAAAATTTACGAATAGTCTTTTATATCTAAACTTTTACCACCAAAAATACCTTAAATGGACTCATCCATCTTGCAATGTGGACAATACCATCCATTATTTCTAGGGGAAATTTCAAAATGTGTTATGACAGAACAGCCAGCAGTACAGACTTTAAGAATCTTACACTGGCTGCCGGTACAGATCAAAATATCAAGCTCGAGGGCAACTGTTTACGGCGGTAATGAGGCTCTGCCGAGTTTCCGCTTAACAGTTACTGTAACCCAACGAATATTCGCGACCAATTAATATTCGCTTTATTCGCGGATGGCCACGAAGCGCGAATATTTGTTTGCGCGAATAAGTCCGCACGATTTCGCGAATAAATTGAGGAGAAATTTTTATTTTAGACGTTGTTCATGCAAAGCTACCTGACCGGATATATTCGAATTTTGTCCTAAAGTCCAGTTACCTCGACCTGTTTGGACCCTATAAAATAAATGTTTGAATAAATCGTTTGACAAAAGTGGGAAAACTATCGAGCATCACAAAAGGCTATTGTTTTTTGGATCCTATAAAATAATTGTTTGAGTGAAATGTTAAGACAAAGGTGGTATAAACCGATCGAGCATCACAAAAGGGTATTGGGTGTACATAATTACAAACAGTGAAATACAAGATGGTTTCATACTAATGAAATGTTTTGCTGAATTGTGATCACAATTCATTTACCAATACAATATAAGGCTAGCGTATTATTAATCCCATTTAAGACACCAATAATGACCTCAATTATTGAAGATTAATAGTTGGCTAATCGATTTTACGGCACCATCGGACTTTCCAATCCGCGAATTTTTTTTTTTGGCAATCAAGAAAACGCGGAAATTAATATTCGCGAATATGTCCAACCTCGGCAAAACGCGAAAATTTGTATTTGCGAATATAAATTGGGTTACAGTACCCGAGAGCTAGACATATCAATTATTTTCATAACAGAAATTACGAAAACTGATATTCTCATTGCACTCTTTTTTATAGTTGTGTATGAATTTACAAATTTTTTAACGGTAAAATGATGTCATCTTAAGAACGCAATTCATTCATAAAATGCGGGGCAATGATGTCATTTAAGCAGGCGACTTGTCTTACATGGATCTTTGTATGCATTGGTTGCATCAGACTGATATAAATGAGAATGACAATTTAACAAACCTTGGTTTCATGACATGTTGCAGTCTTTGACACCATTTGTGCCGTGGCATTTCTTCCAAACACTCCCAGAAACACGCTTCTTATCTCCGCCTGAACAGTTTTCTGCCATACAATATCTTTGTTGTTTCGCAACACAATACGCACATCTGGTCTGATCATCCCATATGCCATCAACAGATCCTCGACTTTCTTTAATTCCTCTTTCTTCTTCTTCACCGTATTGTAGAACTGTCTACGAACTGGTATGTTTTTAAAAATGTTCACAGCAGAAATTGTAGTTCCTGAGAATACAATATGCTAAGTGAGTCAATTTTCCAGTAAATTTTGTCATCTTCAAATAAAAATATGTTTGATCATAATGATACTTTTGTGTTTTTATTTAACTGAAAAAGTACATAAGTATAATTATGTTTTTTTTTTATATTTATTTTTTTGCGGGGGGGGGGGGGGGGGGGGGAAATCCAGGAAAAGGGGAAGGGGGTGGTTGTGGAAGGCTAGGTGATACAGCAACTTTCCAGCACATAAGGAGTGGGAAGAAGACCTAAGGTACTACTCTATGCATCATTTCAGGCACAAGTGGGCACCTGAGTAGAACCACCAATCTTCAGAAGCTAGCTGGATAGTTTCTTTACGTGATAGAATCCTAAGTCCCTGGCAGGATTCAATTAAACAGTGGTGAAGGCAAGTGGTTTGAAGTAACGGACTTTAACCACTCGACCATAGAGGCTTCCCAGTATATGTTTCAATTTTTGTGTACTGTAAACGGAAATAAAATCAATCAATTACACATGCACCTGTTTCTAATCAGAAGATTAATTTAAATCAAATAATGTTCAAAGCTATCCATTTACTTCAAGAAATGTTTATCTTTGATTTCAAGAGGAAACAAGAGGGCCATGATGGCCCTGAGGTCGCTCACCTGTATATAGCCCCCCCCCCAACCCCAATGTTGCAGGGCCAATTTAAACCAAGGGCTTTTATTTGCACAAACTTGGTAGACACCCATAAGAACATGTTTCATGCTAAACATCTAAGCTCTAGCTCATTGGGCTTTTTAAAAGAAGATTTTTTTAAAGTTTTTACTATACACATATAGTTAAAAACAATGACACCCCTGGGGCGGGCCAGTTTTGACCCCAGGGCTTTTATTTGAACAAACTTTGTAGACACTCACTAAAAGATGTTTCATGCTTAATATCTAAACTCTAGCTATTTGGGTTTTTTCAAAGAAGATTTTAAGTTTTTGCTATACACAGATAAAGAAAATCAATGACCCCCGGGCGGGCCAATTTTGAACCCCAGGTCTTTATTTGAACAAACTTTTGTAGACACTCACTAAAAGATGTTTCATGCTTAATATCTTAACTTTAGCTATTTGGGTTTTTTCAAAGAAGATTTTTTAAGTTTTTGCTATACACATATAAGGAAAACCAATGACCCCCGGGGTGGTGCAAATTTTGACCCCACGGCTTTTATTTGAACAAACTTGGTAGACACCTATAAGAACATGTTTGATGCTAAATATCTTAGCCATAGCTCTTTGAGTTCTTTAAAAGAAGATTTTTTAAGTTTTTACTATATGCATATAGGGTAAATCAATGACCCCCCGGGGCGGGGCCAATTTTGACCCCAGGGCTTTTATTTGAACAAACTTGGTAGACACTTCATGCTAAATATCTTAGCTCTAACTCTTTTGGTTCTTTAAAAGAAGATTTTTTAAGTTTTCACTATATGCATATAGGGAAAATCAATGACCCCCTGGGGCGGGGCCAATTTTGACCCCAGGGCTTTTATTTGAACAAACTTGGTAGACACCTATTAGAACATGTTTGATGCTCAATATCTTAGCCATAGCTCTTTGGGTTCTTTAAAAGAAGATTTTTTAAGTTTTTACTTTATGCATATAGGGAAAATCAATGACCCCCTGGGGCGGGGCCAATTTTGACCCAAGGGCTTTTATTTGAACAAACTTGGTAGACACTCATTAGAAGATGTTTCATGCTAAATATCTTAGCTCTAGCTCTTTGGGTTCTTTAAAAGAAGATTTTTTAAGTTTTTACTAAATGCATATAGGGAAAATCTATGACCCCCTGGGACAGGGCCAACTTTGACCCCAGGGCTTTTATTTGAACAAACTTTGTAGACACTTACTAGAAGATGTTTCATGCTTAATATCTAAACTCTAGCTATTTGGGTTTTTTCAAAGAAGATTTTAAGTTTTTGCTATACACAGATAAAGAAAATCAATGACCCCCGGGGCGGGGCCAATTTTGACCCCAGGTCTTTTATTTGAACAAACTTTGTAGACACTCACTAAAAGATGTTTCATGCTTAATATCTTAACTTTAGCTATTTGGGTTTTTTCAAAGAAGATTTTTTAAGTTTTTGCTATACACATATAAGGAAAATCAATGACACCCGGGGTGGTGCAAATTTTGACCCCATGGCTTTTATTTGAACAAACTTGGTAGACACCTATAAGAACATGTTTGATGCTAAATATCTTAGCCATAGCTCTTTGAGTTCTTTAAAAGAAGATTTTTTAAGTTTTTACTATATGCATATAGGGAAAATCAATGACCCCCCGGGGCGGGGCCAATTTTGACCCCAGGGCTTTTATTTGAACAAACTTGGTAGACACTCACTAGAAGATATTTCATGTCAAATATCTTAGCTCTAGCTCTTTGGGTTCTTTAAAAGAAGATTTTTTAAGTTTTTACTATATGCATATAGGGAAAATCTATGACCCCCTGGGGCAGGGCCAATTTTGACCTCAGGGCTTTTATTTGAACAAACTTGGTAGACACTCATTAGAAGATGTTTCATGCTAAATATCTTAGCTCTAGCTCTTTGGGTTCTTTAAAAGAAGATTTTTTAAGTTTTTACTATATGCATATAGGGAAAATCAATGACCCCCTGGGGCAGGACTAATTTTGACCCCAGGGCTTTTATTTGAACAAACTTGGTAGACATTCACTAGAAGATGTTTCATGCCAAATATCTAAGCTCTTGCTTTTACAGTTCTTTAAAAGAAGATTTTTTAAGTTTTTACTATATGCATATAGGGAAAATCAATGACCCCCTGGGCCGGGGCCAATTTTGACCCCAGGGCTTTTATTTGAACAAACTTGGTAGACATTCACTAGAAGATGTTTCATGCCAAATATCTTAGCTCTAGCTCTTTGGGTTCTTTAAAAGAAGATTTTTTAAGTTTTTACTATATGCATATAGGGAAAATCAATGACCCCCTGGGGCGGGGCCAATTTTGACCCTAGGGCTTTTATTTGAACAAACTTGGTAGACACTCATTAGAAGATGTTTCATGCCAAATATCTAAGCTCTAGCTCTTACGGTTCTTTAAAAGAAGATATTTAAAGATTTTTCTTTCGGTTGCCATGGCAACCAGAGTTCTGCATGAAATGGAATTCTTTGAACAATCTTGATAGAGCTTCATACAAAGAGTATTCCTGCCAAGTTTCATTAACATTGGCCTTGCGGTATCAGATGTCCTTAGAATATTTAAAATGTGGACGGACGACAGACGACGGACGCCATTTGGTTGGCCATCCTAAAAGCTCACCTGCACTTTGTGCAAGGTGAGCTAAAAAAAGCAAATATATCATATGTAATTGATGGATATTTTGTATCGCAGTCATATGAAGAGGGGCGAGTATTGAGGTTTAAGACCTATCAAATCTGTTATGTTCTTTTGATGATTTATTTTTCACAGCTTAAGAGGTTGAATAATCTGTTTCTCATGGAAGAATATCAATCTCTGTAACAACTTTATGATTCCTGCGAGAACCTTGATGGGTACACAAATTTTGTAGCTTTACAGGACAGCAAAACAAAAGGTCCAAATTAGAGCTTTTTAAGAGAAACTTAGATAATTACCCTGTCCCAAATGAGACGGCAACTTTGATACTATATTGCCTTGTTTATCAAAGGTGTAAGTAAAGCTCACATCCTCATCTTGTGTTTTAGAAGTCACTGACAATGATGACACAGCACAAAGAGAACCTAAAAATACAGAGAATTACTCATAGTTTTTAAAACTTTTCTCTTAAGTAATGACTTTACCTTTTTTTTAAAACTTGTAACAGTCTGATGAAAGATTTAAGGATTTGTATTCATATGCAAAAATTAACAAGAGTTACCACCATGTGGGGGCAACGCTCAACTTTTTTTACTTTTTCTAAAAGCAAACAAATCTTTAAAAAGAAATTAAAAGAAAATAAATGTAAGGTTTTCCTTATTTATTTCAAGAGGTCTATCAAGATATACTTGCTGTTTTGTCTAAGTTTGAATAATTTCCATCAATAATTAACAAAGTTTAGAGAATATAAGCAAAATTCAATCATCTGACCTTGACGGTTTAAAGGTCAAGATCATCTATAATAACTTCCCCTTCAAATGTATATATATTTAATCATAATGTATAAAAGCTATAAATCCACACAAACCAAGAGCTTCTCCTCTAAATCCATACGTTTCCAGGCTCTCTAAATCACTGAAAGAAGAGATTTTAGAAGTATGGTGCCGCTTAGCAACCATAGGCATGACGTCTTGATGGATCCCTGCCCCATTGTCTCTCACTTCTACTTTGTCCAACCCAAAATTATCCTGAAAAAAAGAAAAAAAATCACAATATTTACACATTGTCATCATTGTTTAGATTTTCATTATGATGTCTTTACAAAAATATTAAGCCAAAGTATATAATTTCAATAATGGTTTTTTGGCTCATTTCGACCAACTTGAAGTTCAGTAATATTCCATATTTAACTGCAAACTATCTTGGTAATTATAGATTGTGTTGCCCCTTTATGTTGACATTAACCACCAGACTTGAAAGCTGTGTTGGTCAAACCAAATCACAAATCTTGAACAATCATCAATCTTTCCTTTTCAAGTCAAAAATTGCAAAAACAAAACACAAGATTTCCCAACAACATGGATTAAGTTGGCAAATATTTATATCCGTTGCAGTGTTGCATCTAGGTCGCGTGATTGCGTGATTTGTGCACTTTTTTTACAGATCACTAATTTTAATGAAGTGAATGCGCGCCAAGTCGTGCATCTGACGTTCTTTTCAACTTAATTCAGTTTAATATCTTCATTTTATCTTGAATGCTTTAGCCATGTTTGTTTTCACCCGCGGTAACTATTAACATACACACTAAATCATGTGTAGCAGCCCACTGTGTCATCTCGCGTGTGTATTGTAGTGTTAGTCAATATTTTATTTTTTCTATTTCCGTTGTTGAGCATAGTTACGTTAGCTGTCAAAAATGCCTAACTGTGAGATAAACAAATTCTTTTCAGTAAGTATATTGTTACCTATTTGCTTGTCCCCCACATTTTTTCAAATCTCCCACATTTTTTCAAATCCCCCACATTTTTCAGTTGAGTCGGGACAATCCCCCATAATTTTGAAATTCTAGATGCAACACTGCCGTTGTCTTCTTATGAAAAATTGATGTTAATGTGTAAGTTGTAACTCTGGCTATGTTAGCTTGCATTGTTGAATTCGGACCAAACATGAATGTTTTCGGTTAGCTGCATTGCCTAGGGGGAAGCAAGAGCATCAATCAATGCCCCCAATAACTTTGTCAAAAACTGCACTGAAAACATAAAAATATGTAATGAAATGGTAATACTGATGGATCATCAACAAAAAACAACAGCAAAAGTACCATCATCTGGCCAAAAGATGACAAATATTCCTGGCTCTAAGGTGTAAACAAGGCGTTTCTAAACACAAGTGACCCATATTCGAATATGACATGGAAATCATCATATATATAACTAGTCCAATATATTAGACATTACAGGCTTGTTATAGTTTATGTCGGTCGAGTCTGACGTCCAATAGTTATTGCTCAAAAACGCATAGCATCATAAAAAATTTAAAAAATGTCTATTGTCTTGCCTTTCAAGCTTTATTCAAAAGCTTATCTTCTTTTCTTTCAACTTCATGCTCAATCATACACAAAAACTCTCAAACAATGCACTTATTAATTTAAAATAAATATAAACATCAATCTATTTTTGTCTATCAGCCATACTGGTTAAGCAAGGTGCTTTACAGATGATCCAAATTTTTGAACGGAAAAATATATTCAAACACACTGACGGTGCATGGGCAATTATTTCGTTAAAATAATATTCCGTTACATTGTTCTGACTCAGTTAAACGTTTGCATTTGAATTAGCCAATCAGATTTCTCGCACTGTATGGCCGCCATTTGTTTATTGGCTGTAAGAGGAATTTAATTACATTCATGAGAGGATTTAATCATGATTTTTCGGATGTGACAGTTTAATCATTTTGACAAAAGGTATTTATTTTTCAGATTTGTTCATAAATAGGTTTTTCGTTCCGCCTGATTTTCTGGCGGAACATGCTATGAGTTTTAGAGCAATTTCGATATGACGTTGCTTTGCCCAGAAGCAAAAATATCTCAAAGCAACGTCATATTTATAGGACATATATATAACAACTTTTCTGATCAATAATTTATTTTTTTAACTTTTGATTGGGAATTTTTGCGTGTGAATTGGGAAAAAAGATACTATTTTCGATTTAGAATATAACCATATATCAGCTTTAAAATCAGCAAAAAAACAACAACCTGAAATCTAGATTACATTTATGTACACAGCAAATACTGTAGTCTAGCAACTAATGCCATCATATAAATTAACAGTAATGGCGGTCGTATGTATCAATCACAGGAGCTTGAAATTCTTTCAATAATTGCCCTAAAGTTTGATTAAAAAATCCTTAACTATATATTTTTATATGTAGGAATGGATTTTTTTTTAAATCAATACATGATGAAATCCTATCATACACCTGCACAATACTCAACTATACATAGATAGGTAGACACACAGACACTTGGGGTTTGGAGCTCAAAACGCCATTAAAATCCAAATAAAATGCATATTTGTCAATCCCAGCACATGTACTGATCATATATATCAAAAAAACTTAATATAAGCCGTTTTAAAAAAATTTCATATTTCAACATGATTTACATCTATAATAATACAATCATATATATCAAAAAAACTTAATATAAGCCGTTTTGAAAAAATTTCATATTTTAATAAGTATTATTATAGATGTTGAAATATGAAATTTTTTCAAAACGGCTTATATTAAGTTTTTTTGATATATATGATCAGTACATGTGCTGGGATTGACAAATATGCATTTTATTTGGATTTTAATGGCGTTTTGAGCTCCAAACCCCAAGTGTCTGTGGGTAGACAGACAGCCAGAAGACTTAAGGGGCTGAATTCCTCCAGACGTCATGGCTCAACGTTCACTGTGTTGGAGATTGCGCTTTTATAAACTCACTAGAAAAAAAGGTTATCCGAAAATTTTATTATCCGAACTCAACATACCAACTTAATTTCCAAATTTGTACAGTCTGCATCAAACGCGTTTTCAACTAATTCTTTTACGACGCTGAAGATTGAAGTAATGACTTGAGAACTGCCGATTAATCTTACTGTCTCAGAAGGTAAAGATTTTAGTTCTTTTTCCAACATTTCTGTTTTGATTATTTTTTCCGCGAAAATTTAATATTCGGATATCTTCGGAACGGTTTTGTAAAGTGTGAACATCACTAAATAGTTTCCATATCGAGTGCACGAAACACATCTACTGCAGACATCACAGAGACACAATTTAACCTTCAGAAATCTTCAAAACTGAAGAGAATTCATTTAAAGATAACATATGGCATCATAGTATTCTCTATTTGAAATCATTCGTGTCTTTCTGTAACGGTTATAATGTGTTATATCATGCATACATTGTAAATGTTCATGTTGCTACAGAATTAGCTAGATGTTTTCACATGCTTTTAAAATATAACACCTAAATTGGGGGTACAATATAAAAATTCAAAATTTATATTCTTTCTGAATCATGAAAAGACTGATTAAGTCTGCACAGCTGAATCTGACCGCTTTAAAATCAAGTTATAAGAAGCAAATACATACTTGTAACCTACAATGTAATTAAAGTTTATTTTATACATGTTTAATATAATATTATTTTCTGATTTTACCTCGTCCCGAATTATAATTTTATCAAATGTTTGCTTGAAACCTCTTTTGGTATATTAAAGGTATATGTTACTTTTTTTTAGATTTGATTCCGAGCATAAATGACTTGACTACATGCTTTTTCGAGCATCATTTTAAGGCTGGGTAGCATATATATATACACGATGTTAAACTCATTGACATAAATTCGATTGTTCAAAATTAATGTTTGTTTTCTAAGACTTTATATTATCTACAGCAGATCTTTCAAACAGAATATGTTTTGCTGGTTTCAAGCGTTGAGATATTAATTTTGATTTTTTTCGCAGTTAATAATTATTTTCATTTTATTTACATACATGTACGTGTCAATAACATTTGAAAGATATTGAAAATAACAGACTTAACCAAGTCTTCATTTTGGAAAAAAAGATAACTCTTATTGACACTAAATAACTTACATTCAGAAGTTGTGATTAATTGTTCTATGGTGCATTTAGCTCCGCATGGCGGACATTGTTTACATCACAGCGGTCCTATTATACAGTGTACATGTATTTTTTAAAGATATCTGATCTCATATACCAACCACTAGTCTTGTTCATTTTGCTTTAATTTTTCCTGTTTACTCTGATTTAAGATAATTGTATATACTACGTATTATCGAGGCATCTTTGTATGGTTAAAAATTATTGACCGTTATAATTAACTATATATAATACAACAGGGTCTTTCAAATAGAAAACTCCTTATTAGGTTTCTGGATGTGTTATATTGGATTTGAGTCATGTGAGCGAGCTGGCCAGTCCATTCGCTTAATAGACTCCCTCTCTAGGTAGTCATAGACCATCCTGGTCCTATGGGGGCGAGCATTATCGTCCATGAGAATGAACTGATCGCCGCTTGCTCCAGCATACAACCTAACCTGGTTGTCTAAGATGTCATCTATGTATCGCTAACTTGCCAATGTGTCTCTATTTAGCACAACGAGGTCATTTCGAAGAGAAGTTGCTGTCGAAAACCTTGCACGACGTGCCTGAATAAATAAAACCGATCCTGAGCTGGTGTTGTGACACTTTGTCGACCTCCAGCATGCCTCTTGGCGGGTGTACCATGTAGCCGGTATCTCTTCCAGGCTCTGGTGATGACGGTGTGGAGTACAATAAGCGCCGCACCAACCTGGCGGAAGGTGGCCACCTGCTGCACCATCCCTAAAGCCCTCCATAACTCTGCTTCTCTCAAATGCTGCCTAATATTAGCATTCGGCATATCGATTAGACTGATGTAAGAAATTAAAGCCACTGTATGACAAAAAGCCGGCAATGTCGCCGTTTAACAAGAGACATGTGATTGTACACCCCATGTAAACATCGGGGTGGATGCTTTCCATGGTACCTAGACGAGTTGTAACGGATTAGTCAACACGGATTCACGTCAGAGGACTATCACAAAATATTGCTGAATCAGAATTTTCAAAAATTGGAAAGAAATCTGTTTCATATCTGTGATAATATAAAAATTAACTTATGGTGCTTAGCAAAAGTAGAATGTTATAGGTTTATGTTGTTGTTTATAGCAATCAACTGACACACTCGATTATCCACGACTTTAAATGGCAATGCACCCATCTTAGTGCAAGTGGTGAGTTCACAGATAACACTAAAATTGTATTCCATTGTTTTAAATTTTGTTTTCTTCTTCGTGAACTGAACAGTTACCCGCGTTACTCATAAACAGTTGTATAGATATACTTCTGAACGTATATATCACGTTCAGATGATGAAAAGAGGGACCGTCTCTTTGTATTTCAAGCACTTAAATATTTGGGAGCAGGCCCTTAGGACTAACTCATCGAGCTCACTATTAAAACTAAGTTGCCGAAATGGTAGCAATGTGAATTAAGTGTTTTGAATTCAAGATAAGACGGACATTATATTTGGGGAATGGAAAACGCATTAGCGGTCAGCATTTGTTTGTTATCAAATATTTATATGATTGAATATGTCCCTATGTAAATTCTCCCAGATCTTCTTCTTCTTCTTTCAGTATACTGGCCACCTTCAACTAACTGAAGTTTATTGCCAGGTTAATGCGCAAGAGGGAAAGAAAGAGTTGCCGACAACTAAATACTGACAAACACAATAAGTTTCTTATGTGATACTTTTTAAGAAAATCTAAATCAGGACTAAAAGAGATGTAGTATTTACCCAAATGTTGATTTAGATGGTAGCCCAGGTGCGAACCTAAATGAGAACCCAAATAGTATATCTAACGTAAAAATCTTTTCCACATAATCACGAAACTATAATATATAAATGTAAAATGTATGTTCATCCATGATAAGATGTAAAATTCCCGAGTAAGTGAATTAAGTTAAGTAAAAACAAATTTGATAAAAAAGGTTGAGATTATAATCAGGATAACCGCCGTATGAATACATCTCTTCAGTTGTTTCTAAATTCAAAATTTCACCATTTTAGCGTTTAAATGTTGAATTCTGCTTAAGCCGGTGCTAGGGAGCGTGGACGGTAACTTGCAATTTCCATTACCGTCCATGAATAGGCTCAATCAAACCGAGTGCAACATTTTACAATTTTGCCGTGTTGGGCTTTCTTTAAGGATTCTGTTTTTCACTATTTCTATATATCTTACATAAAACTTGTGTTGTATCACATGACAAGTCTAACCGAAAAGTTTAAATAATGAAATTGATTATTATAGATTTATCTTTTTTTTGTGTAGATCTTGATTACACAGGCATTGTGCAAGCGAAAGTTCTATACTGCATCGGAATGGTTTTGTCATTTGTAACCTTGATAAAAATTTACCAAGGCAGACAAAAAATTGCAAAGGGCATATGAGATGAAATTTGTTTACGAAAATGGGTCATATTTTTTTTATTCTGGTGAGTCTATCAGGTATGTTGTTGATTTTTAATGTTCCTTGTTTGATTAAAGCTACGTTAAGTCCTTTGACACAAGAAAGATATAATTATATTCTGTTAAATTAATTTTGCATTTTGATGAAATATTGTTTGTCCAAAAACGTCGGAAACGTTTCACAGATAGGCCTATTACAACAGATAACATTTCAGAAAATACAAGAAGAAAATGTGCCATGTGAGTCATATACCTTTACGAAGATTTTTCACTATTAATCGGTATTTTACCGCAACGAGATGACACTTTGCAAGATTTCGTGGATGATATGCAGAATTGCTCTATTAAATATTTTTCCAACAGTTTAAACACTACCATTCAGCTTATCACATGTGTAAGCTAATCGCAATTTTGCAATTTTAATAGAGCCAGTCGTTGACAAGTGTTATAACAATGGGTGAGAAACTGATTTGGAATTTTAAAGAAATAAGAACTGAATATAGTATTGTTCGATCAAAACCCGGTCATTCGGTAATGCAGATCTGTACTGAAGTGGGGAAAGATTGTGTGTGTGATAAACACTATTCGTGAGACAGTTCGTTTGTGGAGACAGAATGTCTGACTTTCTGTCAAAAGTAAACGTCAGAAAAGTCAAAGAAATTATTAAAAATGATGAAAAGTAGAGAATTCGTGATATTGCCAAATCTGTTTGCATATCGCTTTTGCCGGCTCATTTTATTTTAAAGCGTAATTTGAAAGTGCAAATCATTTATGGAGGATGAATTTCACATTTATTGACAGATGACCAAACTAAGGGTACGAGTACAAACCGCTTAGGAATTGTTTAAATGCTCCGAACCTAATCAAAGACAATTTGCAAACACTGTTACTGGTGGTTAAACAAAGGTTTACTATTTTGAACAAGTCAGAAAAATTGGGAACAAAATTAAACATGGTAGTAGGTCTGAATTTCCAAACGTATCATCAGCACAAGAATGTCTATTATTGCATTTTCTTTATACACATTACTAATAAAACAACCCCTTGTATATACACAATGGTTAATGTGTTACCGATCTCATGTTTTTAAAGGGAGATAAACTGAGAGCAACTTATTTAAAAAAGTGACCCGTTAAGCTTTGTCTGGAATTTTCATTAAAATCTATCATAATCGCCTGTTTATACCGACCTGAGATTTTTTCGGTCACCACGTTATTGAATAGAAATAGAACACTCTTAATATGTCTTAACAGACAAATTTGCTGGGTTTGGCGGAGCAGTGATGACCTTGCTTGCTACACCAATGCGTCTCTGTTTTCCAGTTCTACCATGTAAAAATTTCAAGTTTGATGATACCACAATGCCTGTTTAAAGGCTTAAACAATGTCTACATCATGTGAAAGCTATATTCCAACAACAATGTCGGAAATAAACCTTAGACCACCAATGGCACACGTGGACCGGAGCCTAATAAGCAATATTTGAAGCTAACAAAACAACTAGCCTTTTGGCTAAAGTGAACATATAGTGCTCACTTCATGATGAACGTTAATGATCAATTGCCCTTTACCTGTCGTCCGATATTTGTGCACTATCTGATGTTATTCTCGAGCATACTTTCATATCATTCGCTCACTTCGGGTTTTCCAGAAAAAAAAAAAAAAACATGTGCGAATGTGC